GGGCAAAAGTGCATCATTTTGAACTCCGTAAAATTTGATTTGGCAATTTAAAAAAAGTGTGAACCAATTTGTGGTTGGATGGTTAGTAGGATAGTGATATCCTTAGTCTAGCATACTTCAAGTCTAGACTTGACATTAGTGTTCACATTTTTCTGGATTTATTTCAGCCCTTTCGGCGATGTGCGTTAAGTGGAAGGAGACTTTCCCGTCGACTACCAAGACGTCTGTGGCGACTTCATCAATCTCAAGATGATGTGCCGGCTCAGTCTCTTGGGATGCTCATATGGATAGGATGTGCGTGCGTGCGTGCGTTCATAGGGATGAATGTATGTGTGTATGTATGAGCGTGTGTACTGTGTTGAAAAAAACTCTATTTAGGAAGTTTGATGATATAGAATATACCACTAATTACTCCCTAATACAATCAAACACGGTTGCACCAAGTCAAGAAACGTATGCAAATTGAAGATACTAACAAAATTCTGTAGTACAACTACAACAACATGAAAAATAATATAGAATAACAAAAATTAGACTGTACATTTAATATTACTTCATGTTTTTCCAGTCTGACAAAAAGTAAGTGTAAATGTGAAAGTCACTAGAGCATATATTACTTAATTTGATCATCACAATAATTTTTGTCATCCATGGAAATTTTTTGGACTCTTTTTTCTAGAAACAAACACTATCGATATTTTTGTAACATTTGAAGTACATCTATGATGCAAAGCTCGAACATAATAATGACAAATACAAAATTAAAGCATGCATAATTACCATGCATGTGGTTTTCCTCGTATGTGCGAGGCTTAAAATGGATACAATGATTCCCGAAATTTTCTACCGAATTGCATGACGTAAACTGCCTACAGTAACATTTGGTAGGGTATTAATGATCTACTACCACTTAGGAGGTACTCCCTCGGTTCACTATTATAAGATGTTCTGAACTTTTTCTGAATCGGACGTATGTAAGCACATTTTAATGTGTTCGTTCACTCATTCTGTCCATATGTAATGCATATTGAAATATCCAAAACATCTTATGATAGTGAACGGAGGGAGTAATATTCATGTCACCCAAACATTTAAGAACCTATATCGAGGGACAACACAGGGGCAGGGGAAGTTCTTGCGTTTGGTGGCTATCTTGTTTCAAGTTGCTGAAATTACAATGTAATAACTGATGTTTCTCTTGGTGTGCGCGGCGCAAGCGGCGCAACGTGGGGCGGCGATTTCCTTTGGCGGCGAGTCCCCATCCTTGTCGGTAGTCTTGGTTGCTTTTTGGTAGGGTGTTGACTCTCTTGTATTCATGTTTCTTTATCTTCTTTGTAAGAGGATCTCCTCATCACCATCTATCGGTTTGACTGTGTTGCTTTATATATAAAGCGGCACGAAAGCCCGTTTCAACGAAAACAAGGTAGCATGGTCATCCTTCGTATCATCGCCAAAGGACCGCTGACCTGGTTGCGCTCATAGATGAAGACTGGAAAGCAAATGCGTAGTTATGGTTCCTAAATTATGTATGGTGTGCTAATTTATTTTATAATCTACTGAAACTACATAGTTGTAGGCCATTTTTCTCTCCATTGCAATTCTTCTCTTCTCTTATGCAGGTTCTACAGATGTACCGGCATGCTACGTTTATGGTCGTCTCTACAACATTGAGAATCAAGACCTGCTTATGGAGGCCACGACGAGAGATACCTTTACCCAACATGGATGGCAGCATGATCTTCGGATTGGCCCTCCTACGTCTTAGGCGTTATACAGTCTCCACATGATTACTTGTATTCCGCCTTTTTCTCTTTTTTTAGAAGTTAGGCTTGTTAATGGCCGTGTGCATCTTAGTTATGCAGAGGCCAGGTGTAATGCTTAAACCTTTTAAGTAATAAAGTGTTCTTTATCGAAAAAATTCTCTCAGTTGCTGGATTTCTATCAGTGTACGCATTGGCTCCTTTCGTGGTCTATTCTTAAGCGACATGAACACTAAAAATTAATTACAGTGATGTGTATGCGGTTGTACCATGTGGACAATAATGTTTGT